TGGACATGTTCGAACCTGGTTAGCTGTCCCGTGAGCACACCTGCGGGCTGATCAGCTGGGGCATTGGAGGAAGCTGCACTGGAATAACGTATGCCAGGGAATGTCCAAGCCTCGGCCTTATCAAACACACGAATGCGAAGTGAGCCATCTTGCTCAGTAGTGTATTTCCACTCAAGACCACACAGAGCAGCGGTGACGGAGATGACTTTCATGGTAGGATGTCATCAATGAGTCTAAATGTGAATGCATATGCTTGCGCAGCACGCAGATCGTGCTGACAAGTTTATCGATCAACCGTGCTTCGTCCCAGTAAAGCATGAGGTTGGCAATTTCTGGTCTGGCGTTAGCTTTGCGCCCATAGGGATACCGACCACCTGATGGTGCAAAGTGTCATATGTGGCATAAAGATAAGTGTTAGAGATCACAAACCGCAAGTTCTGTTCTGTTTCTGACACTGAAAGGGTGTCCGTCGTCCGAGCCACGTGAAGTAACGGTGGTAACCCACTCCACATAATGACTACCTCCTACAGTCATGTACATTCTACTACCCTTCTGCCTTGTAGGATCCGCAACAAAGCATAATCATGTGAGTCATGAACAGCATTTAGGACATTGTTAAGTATCCTGTCATGCGGCAGGTTAGTTTACATAGGACACTGGGGTAATTATTAAAAAAAAAAAAAAAAAAAAAAGTTGTTGTAAAATCCGCGGTGTGTGGCGTACACTGCCGTACAGCCTCAAAGGGAATGTGCATTCTGCTTGACATAGAAAATGACGTCCTCGACACTTTGCCTGATCCAACGACGCCGTACACCACTTTCTTGATAAAGCTCGTTGTTATCGCTGCACAGAGACTTGATGACGCCTTGGAAAGCATAGTTAAGTGAACACGAGACCATTTCTTTGCTTGCAAGAGGCTTATGAGGGGACCTGTTATGCAGATTGGAGACTTGAAGGCTGGTGAGGTGCAGAGCGAGGTGTGCAGGTCGGCAAAGGTTGCTTTGCTGAGTAACTCCGAGAATTGGACGTAGAGCGGGTTGAGGTTCGTATACTGGGACTGCGAAATAGAGATTAGGCAGGGTGTCGGTATGTCGATAGCCTGTGCATTGATTGAAAAGAGCATGGGTTTTGAGGATGCTGTCCCCAGACTCCGATGCTTGATTGAAGGAAGGACTATCCAGATGCAGTGATAACTTAATGTATGCATACTAGCATTCACAGCAAATTGCCATGGTGTGTGATGTTTTATTGCAAGGTACTATAATGGCGAATTGCTTATGTACCTTCTGAAGTGATGTCTTTGCAGCTCGTGAGGCAGCCTGACAGCAACCAGAGACTCATCCAGACCAAGTTTTCAATGCATTCATGGTTGCTATAAACTTGGCAATATGCTTGTCCAGACCACGTTTTCAATGCATTCATCAGAATCATCACATCTGTGGTGTTGGCACTGAGACAATATTGACATTTCTTAAACCAGTGCCCTGCAACATAGAGATGCCTGGTTGAATCGGACTCTGGTCGATGTCTCATAATTGCAGCTCAAATTGTTCCGGTCGGCCTCTGCTCGATGCGGCCTGGTTTAATCGAAAGAACATCCATTCCTGGTTGAAAAGGGCACTGATCGATGCCTCGTAATTGCAGTTCAAAGTGTTCTGTTCTAGCATGAGCAACCCAGTCCACTATATGAGGCTGTCATGCATCAGCAGTGATGAGAGGTAGAGTAAGGGGGGTTACCATAGAGAGGATCGTAAGCAGCGCACAGATATCCCCATTCAGATCCCTTTCCTGATGCTCACTTTGTATCACTGACATCATAGGTGAAGTATTTTTCAAATTATTTAAATTTAAATTCCAGGAAAAGAACAGGTTTGTAAGACATGATCCACAAGAAAAGGGAACCTCAAGAGAGAACGTAGTGAAAAGGTAACACTATGGCCCTGTGTCTGTGTGTGTGTGTGTGTCTCTGTGTGTGTGTGTGTGTGTGTGTGTGTGTGTGTGTG